TTCCTCTTCCCACCCACACATCCTTCTGGTCACTTCGCGTTGCCCTTAACGTTTTCCCGGTTCCCCTGTCTCCCATGAGGCGCATGTATTAATGGTGAGGCTTGGTTGGTCCCTACCTTCGAGTGGGGTAATCCGACTTGGCTCCTTTTTGCGTGTACCTTTTATCAATATAGATCCATCAAATTAGATTCTATCAATCACAGGTATGACAGGATTTGACATGGGTCCCGTGGTAAAATGTCGGTCTGTCCAGGCTTTCTTGAAATATGCAAACAAGTTTCTCTTTAGCGATTCTTTGTCGGCCACCTAGTCATTATGGAGTATAATGGAAAATGTTTCGATCCCCACAGAAGATGCCAATTTTATGTGCCAAGTTGAGGACATGCGTGAATCGACAAATATAATACTCCGACCATTCGAGTAAAATTGAAGACCTGCAAAACAAGGGCTAGGAGAGATCCTTGACGTAAGTACTTTGACGCTCATGTCAGCCTTTCAATTATAATGTATGATGATTAATAATCAAAACGTCATGAATGAGAGGAAAAAATCTACAGTCATACTTCCACCCCTATATAGGATGATTAGTCATACTTCCACCCTTATATAGTATGTTTTACCTTGTTGCCCAAGAAATCTATGCATTGTTGCCCATGATTCATTCATATATAATCTTGTTCACACAAAGATCTTTTTTTTTTCTTCTTAGGTCTCTTTCCCTGCATGTTTCCTTCAGCCCAGTTCCACTAATGTTTTTGAAGGACATCCGCTCGTCCGGTATGTGACTGTCTTCAGTCCTCAACCTGAACCTTTAGGTTCGCAAGCAAGACCGACATGGCCGATCTGTGTTTGACCAAGATAAGAAGCTCGGTCACCTCCAATACGACAAATTTAGCCCAACCGAGCTAGGGTTGCACTAGACCTGAACCGTCCTCTGAAACTCAATTGCCTTGAAGTGATGGATCCGATCCAATGAGTTGGGGCTCTGCTAGAGCTGAACCGTCAGACCTTTGTAGCTCGGTTGCCTCGAGGTGAATCAGAGATGTGATTATATCATCTAGGACCCCTTCCCCCCAACTACTTCAAACGCACTAGATGACAAATTCAAGATATGAAAAATTCCAGTAATCCAAACGCACTAGTGTTTATTGAAATCCAATACCAAATTAGTTTTTGTAATTTTTATATCAAAAGTAATTATTATTTTTTTTTTCTTCAAATGTTGATTGAGTTGGAATTTTACAATACCCAAACCAAATCTAAGATACCAAAAGCAAAGAAAAAAAACCGAGTATATGACGAGTACCAAAATTATCCTTTTTCCTATATGGATCAAATTTCTTTAAAGATATGATATAGTTTCAAGTATTTATATTTGATTCAAATTTTAGGTTCGACGTTTTAGCATAAGAGCATCTTCAACACCCTGTGAATTGTGGGATTGTAGAAATAATCCGATAAAAAACTTTTCCAACGGTCATTTTTTACTTCCATTTGTGTTGATGTGACATGAAATAAATAGGAATTATTCTGGAAGTCTTTCTACATGTGAGAGTTCTTCTAGAAGTCTTAAATATTATTTTATATATATTTAAATTATCATTATTCAATTAACAAAAAATGAAAGTCAAATAAATATAATAATATTTATGTGATAGCTATTGTATTTTTTAAAACATACATCTAGTATTTCCAAAAATATTCTTGAAGAAAATTTTAAATTCATATTCTAAGTCGTTGATTAAATTATAATTTGTTGGTATATATTTATTTGTACACACTTTTTCACAAAACATATTAATTTAGATAAGAAAGAATAAAAGAAAAAAATACATTTATAGACTTATATTATAAATTTAATGGGGAGATGCTCTCACAGTAATAGAAGTTCTAAAAAAATTTGTAGTAAGTGTTAATAAATAATTTAAGGCATAAATAACCGTTTTGTATGTTTATATCACTCTCTCTCGAAGACTGGATTGTTGTTTTTACTTGGAGATGGGAGAGGGTGGAAATGACGGGATGTTCTGTAGAGGGTGGAGAGAGTGGACTCTTAAATTGTGAATAAAATTAGGAAAGAGTATATTGTTGAAAATATTATAATCTCATGTTGTTATAGCTTCTTAGGATTTTACATGTATAGACATATATTAAAAATATCGTGATTGCTTTTTATTTTTGTTACAACAACAAAAGAAAAAAAATCAAAGATATTTACTGTGTTTACACATTTATCATTAGAGAGTGATACAACCCATTCAGTCTACGTGGACAAAAACCGAAAAATCTTATATTTAACTGTATTCATTGGGTTCATTCAAATTGTCGAGCCCACATGCGTATGGACGCAGAAAATTTCTGGGATTTTGGTTCAAATTGTCGAGCCCACAAGCGTATGCACGCACAAAATTTCTGGCATGTTCCAAATTCCGCCCATTACTTTTAACTAATTGCATTTGCCCACCATATCCCTCTTCATATATCAATTTTAGATCCCCCGAAGCGAGTCAACACAGCCGACCACGCGAGTCAACCCAATCAGAAACCCTACCAACAAAATGCAGCACCCGTCGCCGGACTCCGACCTGCCGCCTCTCGCCGCCATCAAGGTCCGCTCCTCATCTCCGCGCTTCCCACCTCCGACAACCCCTCTCTCAACCGATACACCCACCGCCAACGCCCAGCGCAAGATCGGCATCGCCGTCGACCTCAGCGACGAATCGGCCTTCGCCGTCAAATGGGCCGTCAGCCACTACCTCCGCCCTGGTGACGCTGTCATTCTGGTCCACGTTCGCCCGACCTCCGTCCTCTACGGCGCCGATTGGGGCAGCGTCGACCCCTCCATAGTCGACTCCGGCAACGAGGAGTCCCAGCGGAAGCTGGAGGACGATTTTGACACCTTCACCTCCACCAAGGCGGCGGATCTGTCTCAGCCGCTCGTGGAGGCGCAGATCCCCTTCAAAATCCACATCGTCAAGGACCACGACATGAAGGAGAGGCTCTGTTTGGAGGTGGAGAGGTTAGGGTTGAGCACTGTCATAATGGGGAGCAGGGGATTTGGGGCGACGAAGAGAGATAGCGATGGGCGGCTCGGGAGTGTGAGTGATTATTGCGTGAGGCATTGTGTTTGTCCTGTTGTTGTCGTG